CAGAGGGAAAGAAAAAAAAAGGAAAAAATAATAATTTCGCTAGGGCTTTTGAGGTTTATACAAGAAAATTGAAAGGGTAGTAGAGAGAGAAATATGACCTGCAAAGCGACTCTAGTGAAGTTGCGGCTTCGGATGAAGGTGGCAGTGCGGGAAATTTCGTAATTTGATTCCAATTCCATTACTGGAGAGGCGAGAAAGCTTTACTTCAGAAGAGACAAACACTGCTCTGCACTGCAAGCTTGGGGCAGATAGATATATGTATACGTATAAAGTTAATTTGGAAAAAGAAACCTCCGCCCGCCCTAATCTGTCAAATTTGGGTTCTTAGTGTGGTTATGGTGGCGGTGGGTTCAATCATTCAACGGCGGAGTGTGGCGACGAACGGTGGTTTGAAGGCAATAGCCACCACGAGAGCAATAGACGAAGCTTAAAAGGCAGCAACGATGTTGGTTTGCGACTTTTGTGTCGGGTTGAGGACACCTCGTAACGGATAAAAGGTTGAGGTCAAAACCCGACCCAGTTACAAACAGATCATCTACCCGAAACCAAATCATCAAAAAAAATTAATTTTGCTGAATATATATAAAAAAATGCAATCTTCTTAAAAAATAATATTAGGAGCAAGAATTCAAACACAAAAAATTATTCTATTAATCTGAACCATAAACTATTTTTTCTTGATATTTTTCAATTTTTGATCTTAGCATTACTAATCAACTAAGACCATCTCCAACGGTTTACCAAACTTGATATCAAATTTAAATTTTGATGAAAAAGATATTATTTGGTGCTCCAACGGTTGTACCAAATCGATATCAAAATGAGATTTCACCAAACGATTCATCAAACTGAGGACAGGCTTCGCATTTCACCAAAACACTGTATATGACCATTGGGGGGAGACGAACTGGTCGACCAGCCGGTTGACCAACCGGTTGTCCATGAAAAAGTTCAAACAGTTCAACATTTCTGGTTCAAACAATTCAAAAAAAAAAAAAAAAATTTCCTCTCACCGGTCGACCAACCGGTTGTCCCGGGACAGATTTGGTGAAAGGTGAACCGTTGGAGCATCTGGTACCAAATTAGGAAAATAGTGATTTTTTTATTCAGATTTGGTGAAAAATTTGATGAACCGTTGGAGATGCTCTAGACCAACAAAACAAGGAATTTTGGTTCTTTCATTTCTCCCTTTTTTTAATTTTTTTTTTCTACACCTTTCCCTGTCTTTCACTTGGAATCACAATTTGCTGGAACAACTGACTGCTTTTGCAATTCGACTAGCCTTCGACCAAAATCAAAACATTTGGGCTGCGTTTGGTTATGTTTTCAAATAACAATTTGAATCAAAACTTTTTAAAACTCTTTTTAAAATTTATAACTAAACACATAACTCAAAATTTAATTTAAAAATTATTTTCAAAACTCATAACCAAACATACAATTCAAAACTCAAACCCAAACTCTTTTCAAAATTTTATTTTTTAAAAAAATTCAAAAAAATATTTTTTATTTTGTTTTTTAAAATTATTTTTACAATCATGATTTCAGTGTGAAATCATATTTTGAGTTATGAGTTTTGAGTTGAATTTTGAAAAAAGAAATTTTATTTGGTTATGACTTTTAAAAAGAGTTTTTGGTTGTATTTTGAGTTTTGAATTGTATTTTGAAATTTTTGAATTTATTTTTTAAAATATTTAAAGGATTTCTTAATTTTATTTTTTTAGGATAAATATTTTATATTTTAAATATTTATTATTTATTTAATTTAATGTTCATTATATTTCATAAATTTGTGTGCTATTTTTTAAAAAAATACTTTAAATATTAAAGAATTTTTAAAAATTTATTTTTTATTTTAAATATTTTATTTTATTTTATAAATATATTTTTAAATATTTTAATTTTTTTTTATTACATGTTTGGTTACAATTTGAGTGTGGAGTTTTGAAAGTAGTATGGAGTTTCGAGTTATGTGTTTAGTTATGAATTTTGAAAGTAGTTTTTAAATTGAGTTTATAGTTATATGTTTGGTTACGATTTCAGTATGGAGTTGTGTTTTAAGTTTAAAATATTAAAATTAAAAAAAATAAAATATTTACAAAATAAAATAAAATATTTAAAATTTAAAAATTTAAAAAGTTTAAATAAAAATTATATATTTAAAATAAAAATAAAATTTTCTTAAACATTTTTAAATATTTAAAAAAAATAAATCCAAAAAAATTCATAATACAACTCAAAATTCAAAAACTCAAAACTCAAAATATAACTCAAAACTCTTTTTAAAACTTATATTCAAACAATTTTTCGCTTTTCAAAACCCAACTTACAATTCTACACTTAGAGCATCCCACCAGTTTACCTAAATTTTATCCTAAAATATTATTAAAAAATTCATTCCCTATTTTAGGAATCACTTTTTCATTTACTTTCTCCATCAAACTCCCTATTCTTTCTCTAAAATATTATTAAAATATTCTTTCCTATTCTTTTACTTTTTCATCTTCTTCTTGGATTGAAATTAAAGATATGAACATTGAAGCTACCCAATTCCATTTCTACACAAAAAATGTCTTGAGAAATTAATGTACACTTTCCAGATAAATTTGAACTCAGCAACCCAATCCCTCACACAGGTTTCCTCAACAGTGCAAAGAGTTTCCAAAGGTGGGAGCAAAACATGTGCATGCTCCACTCCGCCAACATAAGGAATAAACACACCCAACTCTTCTATCATAGCAAGAAGCACTTCATCATCATCATCGTTGTTTGCGCTCATCTATCAAAAGTGGAATAAACACACCCGAATCGAATTCAGTCGAAGTTGAATGTCACCATTTTTAAGCTCATCTATCAGAACAACTATTAAGCTATTGGGTACAATGGCTCATCACCTATTGACATCATTCTTAAGCTCATCTATCAGTGCTTTTGGTGTCTTCTTCTGAGAGTAGTGATTAAGGGGGTCGACCGGCCAGACGTCCGGGTAGACCATCGGCGAAACAATTTTGTCAGATATGAGGGAGTTACAGTGACTTCCTATGTAGGAAGTCACTGTAGCAAATATTAGTTTAGGGTGGCTTATAAGAGAGCTGATGGAAAGGTATAAAGGAGTTCCAACCCCCCAAAATAGGTAAGGGAACAATTTGGAGAGGCCGATGGGGATGCTCTTAGATCACAACTCCACACTCAAATCATAATTCCAAAACTAAATCAAACACTAACTTAAACTTTCCAAAGTTGATGTTATTGCTAAAATAAATTATGACAAGGCAATATATAATTCAGTGCCATGAGCAATTGCACATTACTTTGGAAAAAAAATTGATTATCACTTTGGCAAAAGTTATGTTCCACTGGATTAATCTCATCTCTTACCAATGTTTATGTAATGAAAATTATGCATGTGTAAGACCCTCATAAATGTAATGTCATTTCTATTAATGAGATTGCTAATAATAAATTTTTTGCATCAATGTCATTCTCTTTTTCTTTTGTGTTTTGTGTTTTGTGTTTTTTTTTTTGAAAAAACAATAAAATATTCATTACAAAATTAATAAAAGATCTTATCAATTTTGTACAGTGGTATCATAAAATCTCAAGAAGCGGGGAGCAACCTCCATAAATCGGAGGGGCTGGGTAAGGGTTAGGGTTGCCAGGTCGATGGGTAACGGTTGGCGGTGGGCAAGGGTTAGGGTTAGATTTTGTTGGAGAAGATAAGAGTAATTTGGTATTGTTTTAAAATTATTGGTGTGTATTGAGATAAATCAAAAGCTTTAATTTATATGCGGTGTGAACTGAGTAAGTAGTATACACTAAGAAAATTAATAATGTGTAAATAGAATTACTCTATACAAATAAACCAAATTGCTGCTTAAGTCAAAATCTAAGGCCCTATTTGTTTTCCTTGATAGCCCATGGGGTCACATTACCAATCTCGTGGGAGCCACAAGATTCCTGTTTGTTTAGAGAAATGGCCATCCACATTGGATTAGGAATATCTTCCAATCAGGGAACTGGTGGTATTCAAATTCAATACCATGAGATTCGAAGTGAAGTGACTGTGTTGTCTATCATTTTACAAGGAAAACAAAGTTACTTTTTAGGTAACCATTTTTTTTTATACATAATTTCATATATTTAATCTCAATCAATCAAAAAAATTATACTATTACACAAACAAATACAATCTATCTTATATCTTCATATCACCGCATTAATAATCCCTCCATTCAATCTCATTGTATTAATAATCACATCCAACTTAGTCTGCCAAACCAACAAAATCTTTGACGAAAACAATTAAAAAATCAATAAACAAAGTAAAATTAAATGTAAAATGCAAGAGTGCAAATCATAATTCATTAGCCCAGTAATTTAGGTAAGGGAGCAGCTTACCTCCTGCCCCTAATCGAACTGGACGGTACTGTTCGACCCGTGAGGGTCCACTACGGGCCCCATTTTGATAGTCCGAACCGTTCAATATGTAAAACTTATCGAGTACTATATATTTATAAAAAATTACATTGATCGAATATCAATAGCTATGTGATCAAAATAGTTTTGTATAAAAAAAATTGAACGGTAAACAGATTAACGGTTGACAAAAAATTGATAAGATGAGATAGTTATCGATATCCGATCAACGTAATTTTTTAAAGACATATGGTACTCAACGAGTTCTACATATTGAACGATTCAGATTATCAAAACGGGACCCGTGGTGGGCCTTCATAGCACCGTCCATTCTGATTAAGGACGGGAGGTCAGTTGTTCCTTTTTTAAAAAGATAATTATAAATTCATAAAAAAAAAATGTATGATTTTAATAATTAATATTTATAAAATAATTTTTAATAAATTCATAAAAAAAAATGTATGATTTTAATAATTAATATTTATAAAATAATTTTTATAAAAAAAATATTTATAATCCGTGTTTCTGGTAACACTTGCTGTTTCAAGGCATGTGGGGCAGCCAACTTGTCATTGACTTGGCAAATTTTTTAAGTAGACTTGTAGTGAAGAGATTATGAGAGCACCCCCAATCATTTGCCCTTTGCCAAAGAATATCAGGTTTCATCTCAGCTGCCTTCATCAAGAACAAGAGGAGGAGCAAACCCAGAAACAGCTCCCAGAGAGAGAGGGAGGAAGATCTGTTTCCAATTACAGGTATGCTGCTAGATTTTTGTTCTGTATATATAATATTTCACTCTCTGATGAATGCTAGCTATTGAAGCAGTTGGAGTCTAGTCCTCGTTGAATCAGTAGATTTTGCGTCACTGTACACTAGTACACTTGTGTAAATGCGCCTCCATTTTTCTTTCTTCTTTATTTTCTTGAAAATGAAGCTTCATGCCTGCAGTGATAGATATAGTAATTGTAGATCTGTCTTCTTTAAGATTTGTGAGATATACAGGCATATCAATGCTTTTATGATAGGACTAACTTGGATTTACCTGAATGAATATATTTGTTTTCGATTCGATGTCAGTTACTTCGCCTTGAGTTGAATGAAAAAGCTAGCCTTCTGATCTAGTAGAGAAGCCTAGAATCCAGGGGTTTGATGATTGGGATAACTTTTATCAATAAACCCAAAAAAAATTAAAAAAGAAAGACGAAAAGTTTAATTGTAATTTTGAGAAAATCAGCATATTATTCACTCATCTTTTTCAAAACATATATATATATATATATTCTACACTTTCTAGGTTTCTTTTTTTTTAAAGACCTTTCTTGGGTGTACCTTGCATATGGTATCCAAGCCACTTACACCCTTTCTATTATGCATTTACATCTTTCTTTTAGTATTCTTATCATGAAAAAGTTGTTAACATGAAAGCTGTGCTTACTGAAAAGGACCAATTGAAAAACCTTATGATCTGCCAAAACCTACAGCGATACAGTTTGGCGGACAAAAATTTGTTGACAAAGGTTTAAGAATTTCTCAAATGGTTAGGTAAACTACAATCAGGATGTTTATTACAACTTAAAAAATGTGATTATAACTTACTTGAATGAGAAAATTACAGATAATTTTATTAACAATTCAAAATAATTTTACTATTATATGGGAGAATAGTTATAAATTTTATTTTTTTGTTAATTTCGTTAAATAAAAAATCTGATAAGGGCTATTTATAATTTCTAAAATTATAAAAAGTAATTTGTATTTTAATTAAATCTATTTATAGTTTACCTAAAGTATTACATGCATTTTTATTTTCATTTTCAAATGATTCTGGTTGTTTTGGAAACTAACTATTTTAATTGGCTTTTTAATCTTTTACAAAAAAATATGTAAAAAATAAAGAGAAAATTTGATTTTTTGATAGTTATTTTTTGATTTTTCAACCGATTGCCAAATAAGTGAAGTGAAGACTTTAGTTTAGTTCATAAAAGCGAAAAAAAGAAAAGAAAATAAAAAGAAATGGGTAACGAAAGCTAGAAAAATGCATTTTTTTTTCATTACTAAATTATAAATATATCTCTTTAAATTTGTTTAAAATATGAATTTTTTCATGTAATTTTAGAAATTACATCTCGCTTATTCAAGTTTTTAATTGCATAACAAATAATCATTTTATTAATAAATCATCAAGTCAATTAATAATTTTTAATGATGTTAAAAATATATTTTAATTAATTATTTAGATAATTTTATTATTGTACAAGACAGTAGTTAGAAATTTCATTTTCTGTTAATTCTTTTAAATAATTTTTTTTTTGGGGGACAAGGGTATTTGTAATTTCTAAAAGCATATGGAATAATTTATATTTTAAACAGATCTCAAAAGGTGTATTTGCAATTTATCTCTTTTGTAAGAAAAATATAAGAAAAAGTATTACAACATGAAGTCCGGCATAGGATTGAATAAGAAAATGAAAAATTACACCCATCTCTTGTGTCAATTCAGTTTTTATAGCTTTAATGATATAAAATTTTCACCGTGTCAATTTTATCAAATTGGTAGTGCCCTTAGAAATTGGATTGAAATTAAAGGGCATAATAGTCTATTCACTCTTCTCAAAATAATTGAGAGATTGCTATCCAATTTGAAAAGATAATTCAATTTTTAGACTATAAAAAATCTATGTACACACGATTTATATCGTTCGGATATAAATTTCAGTACAAAAATTAAATGTTTAGACATAAATTTCTGAACAAAAATAAATTGTTCAAATATTCAGTAATTAATATTTGAACAATTGTTTTTTCGTTTGAATGTTTATGTCCGGACATTTGACTTGTTTTCAAAAGTTTATATTTGAATGACATAAACGGTGTATATTGAAATTTTCTGTGGTGTGCTAATACAATTTTTCAATTTGAAATGGTCCATACCTTTTTGAATGGACCATTTTGCCCTTGATCTCTGTTAAAATTCTTTTTTTTTTTTTTGGATAAGTAAGTCATATTATAACAAAAAAAGATAGATATACAATGAAGTTCAATACATATCCTTTGTAGGGAGAACAAACATAAACAAAGAAATAAACTACTCCCTCAAAAGAAACAAACTAAGGCCCCGTTTGGGGACTTACCTTTTTAGCAAAAAAGCCAAAAAGTTACATTTTTAACCAAAAAGTCAAAGATTCTCTTTTTTCTCTACTTTTTGCACATCTTTTCGTAATTAGCCAAAAAGTCATCCTAAATATATAAGTTTTTTTTACCTACTTTTTTAGCCAAATAGCCAAAAAGTTACTAAATTAGCATGTTCCAAAACGAGACCTAAGCCTATAGACGACAAAAACACCAACCACAACAAAGGATTCAAAATTTCCCTCTAGTACTCTTCAAGTAATGAAGTTTCGCTTTGAGTTTTCTTCTGTTATCCTCCTTTGTAGTCTCCTCATTAATGGGATCACTTGGGGATGGACCCCCTCTACTTTGTAGGCTCTTTGTTTGCCACAACAACTCTTGATTTAATTCTCCATTTCCCAACTCTCCCATATCACATGATTCAAGGACATCAAAAGCATTAGATGTTGACGGGGTGAAACACTGCGTCTCTGCCTCTTTATTTATCATTGTCGTTGAACCTTATCCACCATCTCTCCCTTTTTTCCTTCACCACTTCCTATTTGGTTGGAACTTGTATGTTAGTCTCCTTGACTCTATGTTAAAACCTATCACCTACTTCACCCACTTCACCTACTCCACTACACCTCCACCCACTTCACCTACTCCACTTCACCTACTCCACCTACTACCTATTCTTCTCTTCTATATATAGGAATCATTGTAAACATAATATATATCAATCAATAATACAATTCTCTATTTCTCTTTATACATTGAATTCTAACATGGTATCAGAGCCAAGTTAAGAACTTAGTATTTTTCACTTCACCGGCGGGCGGCAACCTCGCCTTGGCCGCCCGCCGGACCTCAACCTATTCCGCTAAAATTCTCTACACATATCTTCACTCTTCTTCACCACCTCGCCGAAGCAAATCCAAAATCCCTCTGGGACATTTCGTCGAACACCATGTCTGCAACAATGATGGGCAAAACACACACACACACCATGCAGGCGGGACACCCAGCATAGCCAGACAGAGAGGCCAACCTCTCTCTCCTCTCTCGGGCTGGTTCTCTCCTTCCATATCTCTACCACATTCTGTTGCATGGAAGATAAATGCACAAGACTACTCATAATGGACCATTCATAACAAATACAGCAGCAACAGCAGCAATTGACTACGTCTACGGCTCCGGTTGTCTCGAGAACCGGAGCTCCCTCGACTCCGACCTCACCTTCTTCAATCCTCCACCACTCACTCCATTTTCTCATTCACAAAAAATCTTCATATATTCCCTTTCTTCCTCACTCACTCTCTCTCTCTCTACCCCCTTGCTCATATTGCTGTTTTGGCCATAATCAGCGTCACTTCTTTGTCTTGACAGAGTTCTCCAAGATTTTCTTGGGAAAAAAAAAAAGACCATAGATTGCAAAAATACTTTCTGGGTTAGTGTTAGAGGTTGTTTTGTCATCTTCCTCCATGTGGGTATCTCCTAAATCTTGAAAACCTTTACTGCAAAGACTGCTGAAAATAGAGAGAGAAGTGAAGAGAATCAAAATAGGGGAAAAGAAAGATGAAGATCCAGTGTGATGTGTGTGAGAAAGCTCCAGCAACTGTGATCTGTTGCGCTGATGAGGCTGCCCTATGTGCAAAATGTGACAGAAGTTCATGCAGCAAACAAGCTTGGCCTTCAATCTCGCTCTCTCTCATCACAGATTCACACGGGGTTATGACAGACATACATGTGATGGATCGATTGGACTACAGAGACCAATCATTTTTTCTCCAAACTTACTTGAAATGAGTGAAAGATGGAGATTCAAGCTTCGCATGGTGATGGGGCTGGCTGGTTTTCATTGAGTCACCATCTCTCTTTCACTCTCTCTCTCTCTCTCAAATCCGGGAAATAGATTTTCTCTCTCTCACTTTACTTTTTTCACCACCCACAAAACATTATCATCGCCATTCCCTAACCCACATGGGCTTGTTCCCATCTTTTCATACCACCCATCATTCATCCCACTAGTGTATATAGAATATATATATATATATTTTTTTATATATAAAAAAAATAAATAAATAAATAAAAACTAAAAAATAAAACCAAAAACAATTTACAAATTTGCACAATACATCATATTTTATTCATCTCAGGGATCCACCCCGATCACAATTTTACACACACACCAAAAAAAAAAAAAAAAAAAAAAAAAAAAAAAAAAAAAAAAAAAAAACAAAAAAAAACAAAAAAAAAACGCAACAAAACACAACAAATCCCACACCCACAAACAGCAGATTTGTTTTCTTTTCTGCAGACGGCCATCCACCGACCTCACTTCTTCGCCTCTTCCGCCGGTCTTTTCTTTTTGCCTCCGTCCTGAGCGGCCCTTGACGGTGTTGCCTCCGTGTTTCCCACTCCACTGGGCACGATCACTACTCCCTGCTCCTCCACTGCAGCATATGGCGGACCTCCAAATCGGCACATCACGGTGGCCTTCCGCTTCAGCTCCTTATTTTCCGCCTTTAGCACATTTATCTCTGCTCGCGCATCCTTATACATGCGCTGGAGCAGAGCCAGTTGGGCGTTTAACTGCTGCACCTCATTTGTCCTACTCTGAAGCCGGTGCGACAAGTTTGTGACTGCAGTCATGGTTTCCACACATGACTTCAATGTATACTGATTGGCCTTAATATCCGTTTGCATTGCCATTTTTTGCTCCACCGACCGCATCGGAAAGTTCAACGGAGCAAAACCAGAGGTGTTTGGTTGAGGTTCACGGGCCACCGCACCAGTTATCTCTCTTGTTGACTCGTTGAGGTCGGGAAAGAGAGTTAGCAGACCACGGGAAGACGAGGCCATGTTTTGGGTTGCTAAGTGTTTCAGCGAAGTAGCAATTTCAGACTGGTAATGTCTAGAAGGGTTGGTTGCAGATGTTTCAGAATGCCAATGTTCAGATGTTTCAGCCTTGGTTTGGTTTACACAGCCTCCGCTTCGGTTTATAAAGACCATGACGAAGAGGCCGACACGCGCTCTGTCGATCACGTGCATCGCCGCGTGTCTGGCGCGCCTTTTGATGGCTCGCCGTTCGATGCTTTCTATCGGGTACGACTTTTTATGCAGTGGGCGCGCCTTTTGAGGGCGCGACTTTTGAGGGCTCGGTATATATATCCATGTATATATATTTGGGCAGCCTATCTACACCTTCATACAGTGTCCTCTACAACGTTATGACACCACCATACAGTGCCTTCATCAACGGTCCGGCATGACCCCATAAACTGTCCCGACATTTGATTCCGGTTAGCTTTTCTAACGGTCCGACATGACTCTATAAACTGTCCCGACATTGATTCCGGTTAGTTTCTCCATCGGTCCGGTGTGACCTCGTCAACTGTCCAGACATTGTCTGCCACACCCATCCAGTGTCCTCTACAACGTTATGACACAACCATCCAGTATCTTCACCAACGGTCTGACGTGTCCTCTACAACGTTATGACACAACCATCCAGTATCTTCACCAACGGTCTGACACGACCATACAGTGTCTCCTATCCTCTTTTATTTTCTGTATTAGTCTATTTTCTTATTTTGTTACTCTCTCCAAACTCCAGTTGGTTAGTTCCTATCTGCCTTGAGTTTGCGGGGGGCTGTTAAAACCTATCACCTACTTCACCCACTTCACCTACTCCACTACACCTACTCCACCCACTTCACCTACTCCACTTCACCTACTCCACCTACTACCTATTCTTCTCTTCTATATATAGGAATCATTGTAAACATAATATATATCAATCAATAATACAATTCTCTATTTCTCTTTATACATTGAATTCTAACACTCTCCACTCTTGTTTGGAAGATGGAGGGTTCAAGGTCTTTGGCTTTTGAGGATACAAATTAGTGGTATGATCAAAAGTCTTACAACCATCACACCTTTGAGGCTTCCATGGAACCTCAACTTGAATCTCATATGGGTCACCATAACCAAGATCTATTTTGAAAGACTTAGGGATCTTTTTATTTGCTGGCACTTCAATACATATTCTCGCAAACGTAAGTCTGCTTCTCTTGAACATAGGCTCATCCAAATAAAGAGGAGTTCTGTTAAAATTCTAAACGAATGTTATCAATTGGACTAAATTCACACAACATAAAAAAAATTGAAGGGAAAAAATTGATAATCTATCTATAAGAAAAATATAGAGGAAATATCACATTGGTGGCATTTTAAAAAAATAATTACAAATCAACCGGAAATTTCATAAATATCAATAAGTAAAATTATAAATTTTTTCATTAATTTTTTTCCCCAAAATTCTACTGGGATCACTATAAAAAATTAAGATTTTAGAAACCAAAATTTAGAGATAAAATTATTTTTTGGGGTCGAAACATTTTTGTTGCGAAAAATATTGTTATTATATTTTTAACAATAAAAATTAGATATTAGTGATAAATTATTATCTTTTTGGGACCAAATTTTTTTTTTCTCAAAAAATAAAACATTTTGAGACCAAATTATTTTGTCCCTAAAAGTCTATTTATTAGTGACATTTTCAAAATTTTGTCGCTAAAAATCTTGTTTTTGACTTTTAGGACGACCTTTTAGCGACTATTTTCATGACAATATAAATTGATCTCTAAAACTCTTATATGTTGTAGTGAGTGTAATTATACCAAAAATATAAGCACCAAGAGTCAAATTAAGGGACACTGGAACAATTTATCCATAAGAAAAATATAAGCACCAGCACTTCGAGAATAAAATACAGTGGCCACATAAGAAAACTTAAATATAACATAGCCTAATCTAATCCACCAGGATCAATCCAAGTAGTGTGTTTATAAAAGCTGTCTCCTAGTGAGATTGCAAGCCCGCTAGTTGCTGATATATATGATTGGGTCATCTTTTGTTTTGTTAAGGCCTATTGTTTCTTTCTTTTGTTTGTATTTACTTCCCTTGAATTATAAAAAGAAAAAAAAATACTTGTGCCTGTTTTGCAAAGAATGGGCACTCGTGTTAATTTTCCAAAACGCCCATTTCCAAGGCCCTTTCCTGTTACTTCCCTTGATTATTGATACATCTTTACATAATAATATAGAATTATCGTGACAATTTCTATCAACACGATAACCAAGAAATGATTTGAGAATATGCATGTCATTCCAGCTTTCATTGAAAAATAATGGTTACTTCATAAAATTCTGTCATATTTGGTAGAATGGTGGCTGTAAATTTTATCAATTACATATTAAAAATTAAGCCGACCCTATTTAATGAGATTTAAGGCTTGGTTTGGTTTGGTTTGGTTTAGTTTATACTAAAAATTGATTTTGCAGGATGGTAGGAGGTGCCGGGGTTGCCGGGGTTGCTGTGTCTACTGGAACTGCCGCTGCCACAGGGGCGTATGGTTGTTTTAAGCCCCACTTCGACTATGTGTATGATTTGGACAAGAATTATAAGGAGCTCAACAAGGAGTCAGATGAGCTTTCTGAATTGAAAAGAGATACAGAGATACATATAAGCCAGAATGAGAGTGCAATGGAGATGACAAACCAATGCAGAAATTGGTTACGTAACGTGAGGACGGCTGAAGGGAAAATTCAAGATCTTAAACAAAGATACAAAAAAGCCAGCAAGTGTCTGTGTGGTATGTGCCCTTTCTTGAAGCTCCGAAAGCTTAGCAAAAGCATTTTTGACACAACGAAGGATGTGGTTAAGCTAAAGACTAAAATGAACGAACTAAAGCAAAATGCCAATGTAATGACTACGAGGAGACCACCACCTCTTGCCACTAACATTGTTGAGCTGAATTCACTCACTAACAATGCACAAGAGCTACTGAATCTCCTTGGACAAAAAGACTTGAAGAGGATTGGCATTTTTGGAATGAAAGGAGTAGGAAAAACAACTCTTTTGGAGAAGTTATATGCAGAAGCCGGCCAAAATTGTAGGTTTGACATTGCTATTTTGGTATCTTGTCAGGAAGAGGACAGTGTAAGGAAGTTACAAGAATATCTTTTGAGGCAGTTGGAACTAACTGTGAATGAAAATGACAGTACGAAGAAAGTTGGGGACAGAATTTCTGAAAAACTAGAGAATATGGAGTATTTATTGCTTCTTGATCAAGTTTTTTCATGTATTAATCTACATGAAGTGGGAATTCGTGACTGCCATAAGTATGGTAAGGCTGTGTTTGCATCTAGGGAAAAAATTATCTGCAAAGAGATGGATGCAAATGAGTACTTTCAAGTCAAGCTCCTACCACTGGAGGATGCAGTGGCTCTGTTCCAAACAATTGTGGGTGACGTTGTTAGAACCAATAAAACCATAGAAGGAATAGCTAAGAAAATAGCCAAAGAATTGGGGGGGCTGCCATTGGCAATAAAAGCAATGGCAATAGACCTGAAACATGAGAATTATGTGTGTACGTGGCAAAATGCAGTGTGGACTTTGCAACAGGCTATCGATGGTCCGCAACAACATCTACAAGAAGTGTTCAATATCTTTGAACTCCTTTATGGCCAATTACATGTTAACATGAGGAGATGCTTACTCTATGCGGCGTTGTTTCCTGGAGGCTATGAGATTTACAAGGATTATCTTGTGGAGGGTTGGAAAGTTCAAGGGCTTATTCGTGATGTTCAAGGGGGCAATGGTCAGACATTTGAAGATGCACGAATTCGAGGGGATTATTTTCTGGAACATTTAACAGAGTTATCTTTGTTAGCGAAGTGTTTGAAGGAAAAATATATTAAGATGCCTGAACTAGTTAGAAACCAGGCACATCACTTGTACCCAAAAGAAGAAGAATGCCAAATAGTAGTTGAAGCATGTACGGAGGAAAAAGAGTGGAGGGACGCTGGAAGGATTGCACTGATGCATAATAGACCGCTCTCCTTGCCCAAGAAACCCAAATGTGGCAAGCTCTCTACACTATTACTTCAAAGGAATGATGATTTGGAAATCATTCCAAAATCGTTCTTCACTCATATGAAAAAACTTCAAATTCTAGATTTATATCATACCAGTATTAAATTGTTACCGCCATCTCTCTTCAGTTTGATCGACCTCAAAGCATTATACCTAAATGATTGTCCCTGCTTAGCTGTGTTGTCATCCAAGATTGCAAAACTTCAGAATCTAGAGATCCTTGACATCCGTGAAACTGGCATTCGTAGTTTGCCAATTGAGATTGGAAAGCTGAAAAATCTCAAATGCTTCAGGGTTTCATTTCCTTACAACGATGCAATTGCAGACAGTCCCGAAACCAACATTCTCCATTGCTGGAAACATAAGAAACCAAGGGTAATGATTCCACCCAATTTAATTAGGAAGCTTCATCTGCTTGAAGAATTGACTATCATTGTAGACCCCAAGGACCAAAGTTGGAAAGGGATTGCGGATTATATTGCTGAGGAGGTGGCTAGCTTGAAACATTTGACCATTCGGCGTGTTCCTGGTCAAGCATCACCATCTGTATATGGAACACCACCCGAAGGATCACCCTCAGTTAATAGACATGGGATCATCCGCAGTCAGCCGCTTGATTGTGATAAAGCTATTCCACTTGCTAATCTTAATCATAATCATAATAATGGGGAGATTCAAGAGGCCTCTAGTTCCAATTCCATGACTGCAGCTGCTCGGCCGCTCCCACCCAGTGACCCATCCCCATCGACCTGGGCCAGCCAAGTGACCCATCATTCTCGGCTGTCAGTGAAAAAATCCCAACCCACAGACCCAAATGTGCTCTCTCCCTCTATCATGACCAATAATGGTACGAATTCTCAACTCTTTTGATCTATTATTTCCCTCGATCGCTTTCCCTAAAATTTGGATTTATTTTTCCTCCTTTTGCCCGCGCGGCCAGATCCTATTTGGTTATGGTTCTGTTTGGTTGAGAGATTTGAGAAGTAGAATAAAAAGAGAAAGAGAAAAGATAAGTAAAATATAAATAAAATATATTTATATTTCAATTAGTTTCACACACCATTTTACTTTCTTTTCACAAATCTCCACTAAACACAGACCGGGGGAAAAAAAAAAACACACAATGTAGAGAGACCACGGTTGGACTTCCATCATCAAACCCACCCTAGCCAGTGGCAACCGCTCCTTTTCGACTGCCACCAGTTGCTCCCCTACCCTCCTCCAGCCACCCACCGCAGCCCCCAACCCTCTGCCCCCCACCCTTCTCGGGTCACAACTTCCTCCTCCCTCCTCCTCCTTCCCCTTCTCTGTCTTAAATGCTTGTGATTTTCCAGTCGGCAGAAAAATGTTGATGAACCGATGATGTCTGAGCTTCTTGGAAAAGAGTGCTAGTCTGCCCCCCTCCTTCTCCTTCCCCTTCTCTGCCTTAAATGCTTGTGATTGGAATAAATTATATGAGGAAAAATTCTGGTGTCATAATTGGTGATATGGGTAATTACATTTTGGATAAAAGACAATTTTAGCTCTTAAATGACGCCTTTTTTTTGTTAATTTAATCTCGTAAATTTAATTTTGTCAATTCAATCATAGATTGAATATCCATCCATATTATTTTATGGGTATGGCTTCTGTCCAATCCGATCAGTGTTGTTGGGCCCGTGGGAGTCTACCACGGATCCCATTTTGATAATTTGAACCGTTGAATATGTAGAAATCGTTGAGTACTATATGCTTGTAAAAAATCACGTTGATCGGATATCGATAGCTATGTGATCAAAACAGTTTTTTGTCAACCATTAATTTGTTCACCGTCTAATTTTTTTTAATACAAAACTAATTTGATCATATAGCTATCGATATCCGATCAACATGATTGTTTATAGATATATAGTACTCGACGAATTCTACACATTGAATGGTTCAGATTATCAAAACGGGACCTGTGTTGAGCCCCCACGGGCCCAACAGCACGGTCCAATCCGATCCCGGACTGGACAGAAGCCTTACCCTTATTTTATCCTTGCATATAAAATTCTTTAAAGTATGCATTTCTTGTTAATCTCTTAAGTTTCAATTTTGTCATTTTAATTCTCAAAGTTGTCAATTTGAACTGGGATCAAATTGACTCAAATTGTTAACTTTGAAAACCAAATGACAAAATTGAGACTCAAGGGACTAAAATGACAAAGAACACGTACTTTGGAGATTAAAACTATCTTTTATCTATATTTCCGTTATTAATGTAGATGGACGTTAGATCTAGGATCCAATTGGCTCAAATTATCAATTTTGAGGACAAAAATAATAAAATTATAACTTAAAAGACTAGAATGACAAAAAAACATACTTTAGGGACTAACTATCTTTTATCCTTACATTTTCATTCCTATTTGTCTTGTGTGATTTTGGTTCTTAATGTTTCATTTGGTCCACAATCTACAAAGCTGTTTTTAATTTGGTTTGCAATATTTAAATTTTATCAATTTGGACCCTAATATATATTTATATATTAGAAATTGAATGGACACAATTTAAACATTAAAAACCAAAATTAAAACACTTTTATACATTAATTAACACAATTTAATTATTAAAAATCAAAATGACACGTCACTCATAACCATATATAACTACAATCCTTATCTCACATAAACAAATTTGAACTTGTTGCTTTTTTCTTTTAAGGTTTCACTACATTAATTTTTTTTTTTTTTTTTTGATAACTCAGGATGTCCGGACTAGCTTGCGCGCACCTCGATTAATCTCTGGAGGGCGAACCCTACAGTTCACTAGCTAGGGGTAAAGCCAGAGCAAGGCTTGGTATGGATTAGCCAACGCAGGAATTGATAGCACTAAGAGGTTTTAAAGAGGTTTCACTACATTAATTAGTAACAAGTTTTAGTAACTTTCATGTTTTGAGTTCTGCTATCAATCCCTCCCTCTCATATTTTCTGTCGAACCTAGACTTTTGGTCCCATAATTTGTCCAAAATCATTTAGTGTGATAGAGATCAAATTGATAGTGTGGAATTTATGAATAAAATAAATTTGAACCATTGATTGCTATTTCCAGATAAATTCGAAGTAAAACATGAAAGATCCTTTATGGCTTATAGTATATATGTGTGTGTGCGTGTGTGTGAGAGATAGGTTTCTAAAGAGATTATATAAAGAATTTTTAAAAGAAAACTAGTATTAGTTAGATAAATTGTTGTACTTCAAAATATTCATCATGGAGCAGTGACTATTCATGAAATGTAATTTTAACGAAACAAAAATAGAGATGAATGTAGAGTAAAACTTGATGGGTATGAATTAAAGTATGATGAATGACATGAAAGAGTGCATCAGGAGTGTTGTCTGGTCTAGAAAGTGCTTGGAAAAATTTTATTGAATTATAATAAGACTAGCTATGATGCATGGTACTACATTAAGTGAGACTAAGAAAAAAAATGTTAAAAAATAGTATGACGGAAAGAAAATATTACATATAATTTTTTTTTTCTTTATTCTTTTTTTCCAGTGTTAAATACAAATGAGTAGATTGCATGCTGCATTTTTTTTTTTTTTTTTAACACTTGCGGATCGGTCTTATTGACTAGATTAATTTACCTATAAACCCTACTCTTTTTAAACAAATCAATATTCCCAATATGTCCTCCCTTTATCTCCTTTAACGACCACGTCTAACTTTTGGCAACTACATCTAGCGACAATCTCTAACTGTTGGCAATCACCTCCGACCTCTAATGACTTTCTATGTTAGTTTTTGGAAACATTTCTTCAGCTATTTTTCAACAAAAACATCTCTCCACCGCGTCACTATCGCCATTACATCAACCACTCCCTCACTCACTAATTCTCACACACTTACCCACTCACTGTCATTTACTTGTATATTTATTTCACTCACAGAAAGACAACCATATACAAACATAGGCATTGAGGAAGCAACGTAAACAGGTCTAATAAATTTATCAAAAGCATATTCAGTGTGATAAATTTATCGATCACTAATTAATTGTAAAAAAAATAAAACTGCAAATCCAATTCACTTACTCTTAGCCATGTTCACTCACCCACATACACAGAGAATAAGGGAGACTGATCAATTTATCACTAAAAAAATGCATTTGAATCTAAATCTGGTTTGCAGGAGATTTGATGAGTGGGAGAGAGGAAGGAACAGATTAAGAGAATCACTGTTGTTTAAAATCATTTAAAATCGATTTCACTACTAGTAGAACTAAATTGGTGTAAATTTAGATTAAGAGAATCACTACTAAATTGGTGTAAATTCATATGAGGTGCCGGATGACAGTGGCTATCAAGGATAATGGTGATAAAGAATGGTGACAGTAACAGAAAAGGCGGTGGTGATGTGGTAGTTGTGAAGATCGGCGACGGTGAAAGTGGATTGACAACGATAAAGTGTAGATTAATAACAATGGACTGTAGATCGACGATAGTGGTAGTGGATCCATGTACAACAATGGAGATGATTGGTGAACAGTGGCAGAATCAATGGTTATGGAATGTAGATTGGAGACGATATAGGTAGATCAATGATGGTGGTGGTGATTGGTAGACAGCGATGGTGGCGCTACTGAACAGTGACGGTAATGATAGTTAGTGGTAATGTAAGGCTGAAAAAGTGTTGGAGAGAGAGAGAGATAAAAATTAGTCTTCATTTGAAAAGAGCTAAAATACCTGGCTTTTTAGCTATTTTAGTTTGGTTTTTTAGCCTTGTTTAGTTTTTGTTTTTGTTTTTTTTTTTAATGATTATGGTTTGGATGTGACATTTTGTTTTATTGACTTATGTAACCAATTTTGTCTTTTGTGCTTTTTTAGCCAAAAAGTCAAAACCAAACATAGCTTTAGATAGGGGTGAGCAGCGAATATACCGATCTGTCAAAACCAACAGGCCCGAACCGATCCGCTGCATTTTGGACGGATGCGTGATAATGAGCGGATGGTTGCGGATTGATTTTCTTCAATCCGCCAATCTGGCAGATGGATGGCGGATTTGAAATTCCTTTGGCCGCAACCAAACCGCAAAACTGTGAACACCCCTAGTAATTTATAAGACTTTGTGTTTTCAGTTTGTTTAAATATTCTGTTTGTGTTTTCGATTAAAAAAGAATTTAAATATTCTATTCAAAAAAAGTTTTCAATTTGAATATCTTTTTTGAATTGAAAAAAATAAACGTATTATTTATCTATATTTTTTTGTTTTTAAATCTATCTCTAAAAATAATAAATAGAAAATATGATATATGTTGGTTGGTTTTTGTTTTCAAAAATATATATAAATGTAACAATACAGAGACATACAATCTCTACTATTACTCTGTTCATAGTTTTGGTGGTTTGAATTGTTTTTATATTTTAAGAACCACAGATTGTAATACTTTATGTAGATGAGGTATGCTGTGATTGTAGTATGTGGATGAGACATGCAGTTATTGTGATATTCTAAATTTTCAAACTTTCTTGTTTTGGATAAAGCATGTAGCGATTGTAATATTTTTTTAAGTCATTAACAGTAATACTCCTCTTTTTTTTTTTTTTTTGAGGAAGTGCATAAGTTGAATTATATTGAAAATTTATAAAATTTTCAACCGCCAAACCGATTCGTATCCATCCGCCAAACCACCAATCCGCTCAATCCACATCTGCCGGATTGGCGGACGAATGTGGATTGATTTTCTCCAATCTGCCAATCTGGCGGACGGATGGCGGATTAGAGGTTCCGTGACTGCAACCGACCCGCGCTCACCCCTAGCTTTAGTATTTTAAAATTTAGGATAAATTATAATACATTTCCTGAGATTTGTTTAAAATACGAATTGTCCTTTGTAATTTTGAAAATTGCATCCCGCCCCTTGAAGTTTCTAATTTCATAACAAATAGTCCTTTTATTAATAAATCATCAAACCAATTAATAATTTTTAATGATGTCATAAATATATTTCAATTAATAATTCAAATAATTTTACTATTGTATAAAAAAGTAGTAATACATTTCGTTTTTTAATTAATTTTGTTAAATAAAAAATTTCCAACAATGAAATATTGTAATTTTTCAAATTATAAGAAGCAATCATTTTTTAAAGAAATATCAAGAAATGTATTTATAATTTACCTTAAAATTTATTGATGGGCTGAGCTTTTCTCATATTGAGATCTCAACATCAAAGAACCTAAGGGATCTATGTAGTCCATTATAGATCTTATTTCAATGATCCGAATTGTTCACTTTCTAGGCCTCGTTGAGTAGGATATTCATGCAAAAAAATCAAAATGATCGGATATCAGTAGCTGTATGGTTAAATCAAATTTATATTAAAAAAATGGATAGTTATCTTTAAAATTATATTTGTCGTTCTTTTTTTTTAAAACAAATACGATTCAAATATATAGTTACTGATGTTTAATCATTTTGATTTTTTGCATGAATATTCTACATAATGAGTCTAAAAAAATTAACAGTTCGGATCATTGGAATTGATTCCAAAATAGGTCTACCAAGCAGTGACGAAGCCAAGAAACTAAATTAGGAGGGGCACTTATTAATTACAACTTAAAATTTTTTTTTTCATAACCAACAATAAGAAGATAATAATAATTTTTAAATTAATATTAAATACAAAAAATTAAAAAAATTGTTACAAAAGTATCTCACATAAAATTTTACAATTAACTTCGAGTAAAATCGAAAATAAAGTATTGCGTGTAACTAATGTATCATGGACAATGTAAAAAAGTCATATATTTAAGTCATAAAATAAATTATATAATGGTAAGATAAATCAAATTTTTACAACATTTGAGTAAAAATTTCATATAATAGTGATATCACGTTATTATTGACATATGATATCACCAACTAATAGTAAAGCGACATATGAAAGGTGAACTTTATATACAAATATAACTAACACTCTAGTAATTTTTACATATATATAGTGATACTAATTATATTTGCATATCAATAATGATGATATTACCTTTATATTGAGATTTTTTCACAAAAATTTCATACATAAAAATATAATTTGTTGTAATTACTTCATTTTCAATAAAACAATCACTATTGTTTTCATAAATTTAAAAATACCCTTGATATTTTATTCTAAATATTATTTTTGTTTAAAATTTTATTTATATACATATGTAAAAAATAAAAATAAAAAAAATAATAATAATCCAGGAGGGCACGTGACCCTCCTAGTCTTCCTGTGCCTCCGCCACTGTTATTAAATTCAAACGCTCTCTCAAAATCTTGACTTGGGACAAGCCAAACTTTTGATTGATATAGTTCAAAAAGTGTAGAATATTTAAATCTATTTCCTCTTTCATGACTTATAATTCCAGTACTTCCAACTTTAGATACAGGGAACTCTTCTTAGGGCCGGATGTTGTCTCTCCCTCTCTCCGATATTGGATCTTGAAACAGACTACAGATCTCAGCTACATGTGCTTCTGCCAAACGAGTGTGTTGCGCTGTATGCTAATGTCTTGCACCATTTCAATAATGATTATACTTTTCTTCTTTGATTCCGTTGAACTTTATATAAAAAGAACTATTTTCTTATAATTTTTTTGTAAAACAAGTTGTTCCATAATGCAATTATTTTATTTATTTATTTTTGCCTGTTTCATGCTGAAATGAGGCCCATTTACTATAATAAACCGAAGGGTAAACACTGATTTGTCTAGTTTGGATAAAATTTCATTTTAATTTTCATAATTTTAATTTAAATAATTTAATTTTTATAATTTCAATTTTATTGTAACGTGATTTTTATATTTAAATGTCAATGGGTGATTTCCATATATAAATACCAAGAAGTTGTTCGGTGATGCCAATTTTTAAATGAATCTAAAAGACTAACCTGCCATCCTAAGGGCATGGTTTTGCTGCTGGCAAATGAGCTACGGTCACGTCCGGTTAATGTGTTGGTAATGAATCAGGATCTGCTCTTTGATTTCTCTCCTTAACTCCCTATTTGTTGAGTTATTGAGTTTAATTTTGGGTCTAATTTCAATGATTTGAACTGTTCATATTTTAAGATTTGTTAAATATATTATACT